TCAAAAAAAAAAAAAAAAAAAAAAAAAAAAAGCATACAGTGAAGGCCTAACCTCATTAGGCATCAGAAAGTTTACACTGGAGTGAAGACTTAGAGTTCATGGAATGTGCTCATTGTTTAACACAGCATGATCATAAGAGAAAATCTCTGAGAATAACCTTTGAGAGGGAGCTCTAAGCAAGAATTTGAACCTCAGACATCTGTGCGTTCATACTGTAGAGATTACCTACGACTGTATAAGTGATCAGAAACAAATGGGTTCCTCATCTCTTTCCCCTTAATCATTTCAGTGTGGATATGACCCAGCTGCTGCCCAAAAGATCTGAGCTGAGGCCTGCTGTGGATTTCCAGAAGTCCCCGTCCTTAATAAACAGTGTTGACCTCCTATGGTAGCTGAGACGGATTTGTCCAACCAGCTTCCCAATCCACCAACCTGAGATGTGCCCACCTCATGATGTTCTCATTTGTGCAGAGATAAATGCCATAGGGTTTAACCCTTCAATCTGTTCTGTTCATAGTGTGGGACTGGTTGAGAAAAGAAGGGCTTTGCTAGCAGGGACCACCAACTTTATGTGCCTCAGAGTGGACAGCAGGATGGTAGAGAGTAGCTCTTAGTCTAGTTTGGCCTGTTTTGCAAAGCTGCCCAAAATCTCTAGGAAAAACTGTAGGGAACTGTGACCTGGATATCAGGATCTCTATGAGCCCTAAGCTCACCCTGATGAGGGAGTAGTTGTGACAACCTCCAGCGCTTCTAGAAGTAGCACGAGTTGAGTCCCTTTTTCCCAGAGGATGTGTCATATTCACTCAATTCTGTTGAGGGGTGGCTGTCTCCTATAACCTCTATGCAGAGGATATTGTCCCTGGAGTCTAAAATCTGGTAGGCATGTAAGGCCTAGGGGCTAAGTAGGAAACTGATACAGAAATAGTACGTACAGAAACACTGGATAATCGGGAGTGGTGGAGACTGGGAAACTGGAAGTTATGTGTGGCCTCTAAAGGGGATACACGGCCGGGCGCGGTGGCTCACGCCTGTAATTCCAGCACTTTGAGAGGCCGAGGCGGGTGGACCACGAGGTCGAGAGATCGAGACCATCCTGGTCAACATGGTGAAACCCCGTCTCTACTAAAAATACAAAAAATTAGCTGGGCGTGGTGGCGCGTGCCTGTAATCCCAGCTACTCAGGAGGCTGAGGCAGGAGAATTGCCTGAACCCAGGAGGCGGAGGTTGCGGTGAGCCGAGATCGCGCCATTGCACTCCAGCCTGGGTAACGAGAGCGAAACTCCGTCTCACAAAAAATAAAATAAAATAAAATAAGTGCTCGCTTCGGCAGCACATATACTAAAATTGGAACGATACAGAGAAGATTAGCATGGCCCCTGCGCAAGGATGACACGCAAATTCGTGAAGCGTTCCATATTTTTAATGTTCATTGCAGCACTGTATACAATAGCAAAGACCTGGAACCAACCCAAATGCCCAACGATGATAGACTGGATAGGGAAAATGTGGTACATATACACCATGGAATATTACGCAGCCATCAAAAACGATGAGTTCACGTCCTTTGTAGGGACATGGATGAACCTGGAAACCATCATTCTCAGCAAACTGACACAAGAGCAGAAAATCAAACACCGTATATTCTCACTCATAGGTGGGTGTTGAACAATGAGAACACATCGACACAGGGAGGGGAGCACTACACACTGGGGTCCGTTGGGGGGAAATGGGGGAGGGGCGGGGGGTGGGGAGGTGGGAAGAGATAGCATGGGGAGAAATGACAGATACAGGTGAGGGGACGGAAGGCAGCAAACCACACTGCCAAGTGTGTACCTATGCAACAATCTTGCATGTTCATCACATGTACCCCAAAACCTAAAATGCAATAAATAAGAAAAAATAAAAATAAAATAAAATAAAATAAAAATAAAGGGGATACACAAATTTAATGTAACTATGACTCTGTGATGACTGGACAGAAATTCTCAGGACCTGCTGAGCTCCTTTTCTTCTGTGACTGAGGCCAGTGTGAGAGCAAACAATCTGAAGGTTTGTGAATTCCTGTACTTCCTTGGGCTGTTGATATTTTGGTCATCACTGCACAGGCAGGAACCCCAAGACTGACAAAAGAGAGGTTGTAGTCCATGGTGCATCTTTTGTAACCCAGCCAGCATTTAGGGAGTGATGGCCTTCATTGCTTTCTAGTTTTTGCTGCCACTGAAGCAGGGCCGACTCAAGATATAGGAAGAGGAAGAGGGTTGAATATTTATTGAATATAATCTGCCGGGCGCGGTGGCTCAAGCCTGTAATCCCAGCACTTTGGGAGGCCGAGGCGGGTGGATCACGAGGTCAAGAGATAGAGACCATCCTGGTCAACATGGTGAAACCCCGTCTCTACGAAAAATACAAAAAATTAGCTGGGCATGGTGGCGCGTGCCTGTAATCCCAGCTACTCAGGAGGCTGAGGCAGGAGAATTGCCTGAACCCAGGAGGCGGAGGTTGCGGTGAGCCGAGATCGCGCCATTGCACTCCAGCCTGGGCAACAAGAGCGAAACTCCGTCTCAAAAAAAAAAAAAAAAAAAAAGAAAAGAAAAAAAAAAAAAAAAGAATCAACAGAGTTGATTGATTCAGATTTTTATGTGGAAACATTTTTTTCTTAACACATTAATGACATATCATTGGTATACAATAGACAAATTGAAATTGTATAATTTGATAAATTTTGACACAGATACACATGTCCAAAGTTTCCTCATGCCTTCCTAATCTCCTTTTATCATCCTCCATTTATCCCCATGTGACCACTGATATGCTTAATGACACTATACATTAGTCAGCATTTTCTAAAGTTTTATATAAATGTAATCATATGGTATGTGATTATTTTTTGTCTGTCAGTAAACTTTTTATTTTAGATGTAGGGGATACAAATGCAGTTTTGTTATAGGGATATATTATGTACTGGTGAAGTCTGGGCTTTTAGTGTGACTGTCACCCAAATAGTGTACATTATACATAATAGAGAGTTTCTCATTGTTCACCTTTTCCCCCCCTTGTTCTGGGGGTTTATTTTCAACTTTTATTTTAAGCTCAGGGGGTACATGTGCAGGCTTGTTACACAGATAAATTGTGTGTCACTGGGGAGTTGATGTACAATTGATTTTGTCTCCCAGGTAGTGAGCATAGTACCCAATGGGAAGTTGGTTTTTTTTCCCCATTACCCTTCTCCCACTCTCCCCACTTAAGTAGGCCCTGGTGGCTATTTTTCCCATCTTTGTATCTATGTTTTCTCAGTGTTTACCTCCCACTTAAAAGTGAGAAGATGCAGTATTTGGTTTTCTGTTCCTGCACTAATTCATTTCAGATAACGGCCTCCAGCTGCATCCATTTAGCTGCAAAGAACGGGATGTTTTTTATGTTGCACAGTCATCTGTGGTGTATATGTACCACATTTTCTTTATTCATTTCACTGTCGATGGGCATCTAGGTTGATTCAAGTCTTTACTATTGTGAATAGTGCTGCAGTGAACATACAGGTGCATGTGTCTTTTTGGAGAACGATTTATATTCCTTTGGGTACACACCTAGTAATGGGATTGCTCGGTCAAATGGAAGGTCTGTTTTAAGTTATTTGAGAAACCTCCAAACTGCTTTCCACAATAGCTGCACTAATTTACTTTCCCAGCACCACTGTATAAGCATTCTTTTTTCTCCACAACCTTGCCAATATATGTTACTTTTTTACTTTAAAACAGCCATTCTGACTGATGTGAGATGGCATCTCATTGTGATTTCAATTTCTCTTAAAGATTAAATCTTTAATTTCTCTTTTTCGCATATGCTTGTTGGCCACATGTATGTCTTCTTTTGAGCAATGTCTGTTTATGTCCTTGGCCCCAATTTTTTTTTTTTTTTTTTTGAGACGGGGTTTCACTCTTGTTACCCAGGCTGGAGTGCAATGGCGCGATCTCGGCTCACCGCAACCTCCGCCTCCTGGGTTCAGGCAATTCTCCTGCCTCAGCCTCCTGAGTAGCTGGGATGACAGGCACGCACCACCATGCCCAGCTAATTTTTTGTATTTTTAGTAGAGACGGGGTTTCACCATGTTGACCAGGATGGTCTCGATCTCTCGACCTCGTGATCCACCCACCTCGGCCTCCCAAAGTGCTGGGATGACAGGCGTGAGCCACCGCGCCCGGCCCCAATTTTTTTTTTTGAATGGAGTCTTGCTGTGTCGCCAGGCTAGAGTGTAGCGGCGCGATCTTGGCTCACTGTAACCTCTGCCTCTTGGGTTCAAGCGATTCTCCTGCCTCAGCCTCCCGAGTAGCTGGGATTACAGGCACGCGCCACCACGCCCAGCTAATTTTTGTATTTTTAGTAGAGACGGGGTTTCACTATGTTGGCCAGGATGGTCTCGATCTCTTGACTTCGTGTCAAGACACCTCCCAGTGTCTAGGACTACAGGTGTACACCACGATGCCTTGCTTTTTTTTTTTTTTTTTTTTTTTTTTTTTTGCTGGCGGGGCGGGGGTAGGGGTAGATACAAGATGTTGCTATATTGCCCAGGCTGGTCTCAAACTCGTAACCTCAAGCCATCATTTTATGTTGGCCTCCCAAAGCACTGAGATCACAGGTATGAGCTACCTCCCGAAAAGAGGCCAAGTGAACGAGAAGTTCTGGGCCCAGCCCGTGACAGGGTTTGAATCCGGGCAAACATCGCCGCCTCCCGACCTCCATTTTCCTAAGCTGGAAAAAAACCTATCGACCCTCCGACTCGTGCCCATAGTAAAACGGCGACCCCAAGACGACACGGGGGTCCTTGCGCGCACTTGCGCGGAGTCGGCGGCGCTTGCCGAGGCCCCACACCTGGCAGACGTGAGGGAACAATGACTCAGAAAGCACCGTCCCCGGCGTCGGCCGCGGGCTCCGGGCCAACGACCGCCCAGGGCACGGGCATTTCCGGCGGGCCGGGCGGCGGAGGCGGGACTTCCGCTTCTTCCGTGACGTCATCTCCGTGAGCCGGGTCGGCCCTGAAGCCCGGTGGGACCCGGAGCGCTGGGTCGGCGAGCCCGGCGGCCCGAGCAGGGAGGGCAGTGAGTCTGTCACGCCCCTTCTCCGCGTCTGGGTGGGACCTGACGCCCCGAGCGGGGTCTTCCACTGGCGCCCGGCGGGGCCCGGGCATCCGCGGCCGCCCTCTGTCTCCTCAGTCCCGGCGCTCCGCCCGTTTTGTGCGCATTCCTCTCTGGGGAAGCTGAGGCTCTGAGTGCGAAAGTCAGCCGAGGTCGCCCCGCCCAGGACAGAGGAGGGCTGGGGTCGGCTGAGCCGCGGCCTTGCCGGGCCCCCGCCAGGGCTGCAGGCTCCCAGGATGGCAGGCTTGGCGCAGGTGAGTGGACGAGGCTTCGGCCTCGCTGCTGCTCTGCGCCTTCCGGAGGCCGCCTGCGCAGGCGGAGCCAAGACAGCCACAGGATTCTTCTTTGTCGCCGTCGTTTGTTGAAGAGCAGTGGCCGCCGCTTGTCACTTCTTTTATCCGCAGTCCTGCAACAGTGTTGGTCTCCGACCGGTGCTCGGCCCTTGGTAGACGGGCTCTCATCACACTTCCCCTAGATCCAGCCTCCTCTGTTGCCTGCCAGCCCCTACCCCATCCACCAGCCAACCACCCCGACCTTCTCTCTCCGTTTTCCGTTGTCCTTTGCGCTTCAGAGCCACCAGCCTGACTGTGCAGTCGTCTTCCATTTTCCAGCCTTTCTCTTTGCACTTCCTTTTGACCTCAAACAATTCCCCTATAAATTCGCAGGGCCTCCCTCTCACATCCTCCTGGCCTCTGTCCAGATGTCACCTGCTTGGAGGTACCTTTCTTGGCAATTCCGGCTAAAGTGACGCCTTACACCCTTGCCCAGAGTCTGGCATTTTTCTATAGGGAATCTGGCGATATTAGAAAAGCTTGCCATCTGAGTTTGTCTAGGATGTTATGTGAATAAAGAGAAAAAAATGATTGCAAAGAATGATAGCTGATCATCAGCATCCTTACCGTGGGTGGATTGGCAGGTATTGTTTAACCCTCAGATCATTTAATCCTGAACGCCTTAGAATTAGGTTCTGTTTACACAGGAGCAGTTTGAGGCCCACATAGGTTGAATTACGTGCCTTACATCACTGTAGCTCTTACCATATCAAACTAACAACTGGTGTGTCTACCATCACAGCCTGTGTTTTTACCCTCTTCTTTACCGCAGTGGTTAGGGAGGCCTGGGGGTGACACCTAAAGTAACCTTTGCAAGGTGAGCGGGTCTCCTTCTAGCAAGTGGTCTTGGGCATGAGGAGTCGTGGCATTTCACACTGGTGGAACTGTGTGGACTTAAAAAAAATGGCATGTTGGTTGTTTAAGGAGTCCGCAGGGGACCCTTGTGGCTTCCACACTGGTTTCCTGAGTGGTTTTCTCCTGTAGCAGCTGACACACATTCTGGAACACAAGATTTTGTAGTCTTTTGCTAGATGTACCTTCCTCTTTAGCCAGGACATACATCGTAGCCAGTCAAGGGCCCACGTTCTCATGGCTGTAACCTGTTATGTCCTCTATGACTTGTTCCTTGTTCCTGATGTGTCCTGACCTCAGGGATACTTGCTGGCAGGACTCAAACAGGGAAAGGTAGTGATAGCTCATTGTGGATTCTTCCTATAAGAATGGGCATCTATGAGTCCCAGAAGAAGTGTCCAAGGTAGCAGATGCAGGTCCAGGCTCTGCCACTTCTGAGGCAGATGCCACCACCTCAGGTGACTCCACTGTGAGGTAGGTGATTATGACTCTGCTCTTCTGCCTATGTCCATGAAAATGTTTTCAGATACCTAAGCGCAGCACAGTGGCATGTGTCTGTAGTCCTGGCTTGGGAGGCTAAGGCAGGAGAATCATGAGTTCAAGCCCAGCCTGGGCAAAATAGTGAGACCCTGTCTCAAAAAAAAAAAAAAAAAAAAATCCTGAAAATATTTTCAGGGTGGCTCACATGGATGTATATATTTCAGTGTTTCCCATCCTCATTAACTGCACATTAACTTTGCTAATGAAGGAGTGTCAGGTTGCATGATTAGAACATAGACCAGGCGTCCCCAAACTTTTTACACAGGGGGCCAGTTCACTGTCCCTCACACCGTTGGAGGGCTGCCACATACTGTTCTCCTCTCACTGACCACGAATGAAAGAGGTGCCCCTTCCTGAAGTGCAGCCGGGGGCCGGATAAATGGCCTCAGAGGGCCGCATGTGGCCCGTGGGCCGTAGTTTGGGGATGCCTGACATAGCCCATAGGGCCCTGCGTTCACATTCTCTCTTCTGATAAGACATGTGACTTTGGGTAGACTAGTAGAAGTCCTGGGCCTCAAGTCTCTGAGTGTGACATGGAGATGATGATAGTGAATTCAGGGGCTGTGGCCCTTTGCCCCAGTGTTCTTTTAGTTTTTCTTTAAATCTTTCGACTATTCTTGGTGAAGCTGGAAACACTGTTGTATTGACCTGGGCATCAAGGCTCAGATAAATGAAATGAGGTCCTCAAGGTCACATAGCAGGCATGTGTTGATTTCTGAAATTTGGTTTTAAACCTCAGGAGTCTGACTCCTGAGAGGGAGACTTTTAGTCACTTTGCCATGGCATGTAAAGCTGTCAGCATGAGGCAGGCACACACGGAGGATGGGTAAGACTCAGGTGCTATTCCTGTTATTCTTGCTGGTGTCATTGTTTTTGTTATTATTCTTTCCTACTCCTCTGATGTCTCAGAGCACTTAGTGTCTGTGCTTCACAGTCCACTTAGGATTGTCCTAACCTTATTTCTGTGTCAAGGGGCTTCCTGCATAGGAGGCACCTCTGTCTTCACTGCTGTAATCCATGCAAAGCAGTGTCCACCTTCCCCGCATGCCGAGCACAGATCTTGAGCCTCTGGAGATGCTTGGTGATTTGGCTCTTGGGTCACCGTGCATCTTTTGCAGAGTTGGAGTGACAAGTTCTAATTCTATGCCACAGTTCCAAGGGAAACACTACTATCTCTTAATTTGCCAGGTGTCTGTGACCTTTGAGGATGTGGCTGTTACATTCACCCAGGAGGAGTGGGGACAGTTGGATGCCACCCAGAGAACCTTGTATCAGGAGGTGATGCTGGAGACCTGTGGGCTTCTAGTGTCTCTGGGTAAGACCCCTCCTCGTCCCCTGCTCCCTTAAGAGTGAGTTATCCTACTCATATGCTCCTCTCTCCTCCGCAGCCTACTTGTTCTGAGGCTTCTGTCACCACACAGGGGTGTTCACTATTTGCTCTGAGTGTAGGATTTGAGAGACCAGGGTCTGGTGTCCAGGAGCCCACTCCCATCTTCACTGCTTACGATCCCTGTATTCCTGGGCAAATTAAGGAATCCCTCTGTGTCTCAATTTTTCTCATGAATAAAAAGGGCCAGGCCGGGTGCTGTGCCTCACACCTGTAATCCCAGCACTTTGGGAGGCCAAGGCAGACGAATCATGAGGTCAGGAGTTTGAGACCAGCCTGGCAAACGTGGTAAAACCCCCTATCTACTAAAAATACAAAAAATTAGCTGGACATGGTAGTGGGCACCTCTAATCCCAGCTACTGGGGTGGCTGAGGCAGGAGAATCGCTTGAACCTGGAAAGCAGAGGTTGCAGTGAGCCGAGATCGTGCCACTGCACTCTAGCCCAGGCGACAGTGCAAGACTCCATCTCAAAAAAAAAGGAGGGGGGCAATATAGTATTTATTTTGCAGGGCTAATGTGAGGGCAAATTGTTCAGTACAGTGTGTTGTGATAGGTGGCTGGGTGCAGGTTAGCAGTTGTGACCCCTGTTGCTGTCACTATTGTTACTGCTGGCTAAATCATTATCCTCATACTCATCAGTGTGAACCCGACATTTTTTGGGACAACTTTGTATAGTTTTATGGTTAAATTGGCTTTTGATGACTAGACTCAGGTGTCCATTTTGGCTTGACCATTCGCCGTTTCCCAGATTTTGGCAAATCACTTTATCTGCCTGAGCCTCGGTTTCTTCATGTATAATGTCCTGATTGCAGTACATTCTTAATGTGCATCCTGTGAAGAAATCCTAAAACAGAATTTTTCATTCAGGGCCCTTGGAGTAGCAATGTAACACTTTGCTTAGAATGTAAAAAATGGCTTAGGTCAGTGAAGAAACTTACCTTTCTCCTGAATGGAGCCTCAGTATCTCAAATATATTGTTTCTTTTCTAAATTAATGCCTAAATTTAATTGTTATAAAATACAGTGCATTTAAATTGCTTTGCATATTCCCTTGGTTATGGTTACATTGTATAATTATCAGTTATTGACTTACTATTAGGAGTAAAGTTCTGTGGCAATGTGGCATATTGATTAAGAACTTGGATTCAAGAGCCATGGCAGCAAAGTCTCTCAAAGAAGTGGCATTTGAGCTGAGACCTAAGGAGTGAGTTCATTAGAAGGAGCAAGGTAAAGAAGCAAGTAGTATTCCAAGTAGGCAGGCCAGCATGTGCAAAAGTCCTGAGGTGGTGAGGAACACAATCCTGACAAAGCTGAAGGAAGGTCTGATTCACCCCCAGTGCCAGGCACATAGCAAAAATGAGTGAACATGTCGCTTAGAGATGACTAAGGAATCCCACCCTTTGTTTTTGTGGGCCCTACTGCCATTAACTTCTCTGTAGAGCACTTGTGTCTTTTACTTATATTTTGACAAGTGTTTGGACTATATGAGCAGATCAGCTCATACAGTCTTCACCCAGAGGATATCTATATCTATATCTATATCTATATCTATATCTATATCTATCTATATCTGTATCTATATATAGATATATGTATATATATGTTTGTGTTTTTTTTTAAATACGGGGTTTCAACATATTGGTCAGGCTGGTCTCAAACTCCTGACCTCAGGTGATCTGCCTTCCTCAGCCTCCCAAAGTGCTGGAATTACAGGCGTGAGCCACCGTACCTGGTGGAAATATATTATCTTACCTAATAAGCTCAGTATCTTACCTAATAAGGCTGGCTCCTGGGCTGATGGGCGTCAAGCCAGTTGTCTTTCTTTGCTCCCACTTCCTTTTTTCTTTTTTGGAGACAGTTCTCACTCTGTAACCCATGCTGGAGTGCAGTGGTGAGATCTTGGCTCACTGCAACCTCTGCCTTCCAGGCTTAAGCGATCCTCCCATCTTAGCTTCTCAAGTAGCTGGGACCACAGGCACATGACATCATGCCCAGCTAATTTTTTTTTTTTTTTTTTTTTTTTTAGACAGAGTCTCACTCTGTCACCAGGTGCCAGGCTGGAGTGCAATGGCGCGATCTCGGCTCACTGCAATCTCCGCCTCCCGGGTTCAAGCAGTTCTCCTGCCTCAGCCCCCCTGAGTAGCTGGAAGTACAGGTGCACACCACCACACCCAGCTAATTTTTTTAGTAGAGACGGGGTTTCACCATGTTGGCTTGGATGGTCTCAACTCTTGACCTTGTGATCAGCCCTCCTTGGCTTCCTAAAGTGCTGGGATTACAGGCATGAGCCACCGTGCCTAGCCAATTTTTGTATTTTTAGTGGAGATGGGGTTTCACTATGTTGCCCAGGCTTGTCTTGAACTCCCAAAGTGTTGGGACTATAAGCACGAACGACCACGCCCAGCCTCTTTGCTCCCTCTTCTTGGTAAGGTTTTTAGGCAGGTTCCCTCACAGAAGCCTCAGGATATTATTGCATGGCAGCAGGAATGGCAGCCTCCCTCACTTAGCCCTTCCTGGAATGAAGGCTTTCTCTCTCTTCAGAGTGGCTGGTATAGGTCACCTGCCTACCTCAGAGTACAGCTGGTCAGGGTTGCCATGTGCAAGATGATGGAGACCAGGGCTTTTCTACCTGCCATGGGGACTACTTATAAGATCCCTTCAGAAAATTTGTCTGAACACAGTTAAGATTTTTGTAGGATGGAGGTTAAAGGCCACACAGCCAGCACTAGATTAATCTTTGGGGCCCAATGATGGTGTTTTTGGAGTTGGTTTCTGGTCACAGTTTAACATTTTCTTTGCTTGGCTGAGAATAGCTTCATTTCATGGTCTTCCCTGTCTTAAAGTCCCAGATGAGACTGAGAGGTTTCTTTCTTCTAACCTAACTCCCTCCGTCCTCATTTGTTCTCCATGCACAGGCTGTCCTTTGTCCAAACCAGAGTTGATCTGCCCGTTGGATCACAGACAGGAGCTATGGATGGGTAAGGAAGACCTCTCCCAAAGCTCTTATCCAGGTAGGAGCCAGCAGCTGGGAAAGTGGGGTCCTGGTAGCTTGCACATGGAAAATTCAGAGCACTGCCTCTGAATTTTATTGGGAATCTTATTGTGGCCTCTCTGGGTACTTGGGATCCATGGAGCCTCTTTTTCTTTCTTTCTTTCTTTCTTTTTTTTTTTTTTCCAGACAGGTTGTCAGTGGTATGATCATAACTCATTTCAGCCTCAACCTCCTGAGCTCAAGGGATTCTCCTACCTCAGCCTCCCAGGTAGTTGAGACTCCAGGTGTGTGCACCATGCCTTGCTGAGTTAAAAAAATAAATTTTTTTTTCTTTTTTTTTTTGAGATGGAGTCTCACTCTGTCACCCAGGCTGGAGTACAGTGGCACAATCTTGGCTCACCACAATCTCCGTCTCCTGGGTTCAAGTGATTCTCCTGCCTCAGCCTCCTGAGTAGCTGAGATTATAGGTGCATACCACCATGACCGGCTAATTTTTATGTTTTTAGTAGAGACAGGGGTTTTACCATGTTGGTCAGGCTGGTCTCAAACTCCTGACCTTGTCATGTGCCCGCCTCGGCCTCCCAAAGTGCTGGGATTACAGGCTGAGCCACTGTGCCTGGCCTTAAAATTTTTTATAGAGTTGGTCTTGTTATGTTGCTAAGGCTAGTCTCAAGACTCATGGGCTCAAGCTATCCTCCTGCCTCAGCCTTCGAAATTGCTGAGCTACCAAGCCTGGCCTCTTACATCTTAAATTTAAGTACTTCTAAGTTAGATCCAAGGTGTATATAATTCACTAAGCCATAATAAAAAATTATGGCTAACATGTATTTATTTCTTTTTTTTTTCTTTTTCTTTTTTTTTTTTTTTTGAGACGGAGTTTTGCTCTTGTTACCCAGGCTGGAGTGCAATGGCGCGATCTCGGCTCACCGCAACCTCCGCCTCCTGGGTTCAGGCAATTCTCCTGCCTCAGCCTCCTGAGTAGCTGGGATTATAGGCACGCGCCACCATGCCCAGCTAATTTTTTGTATTTTTAGTAGAGACGGGGTTTCACCATGTTGACCAGGATGGTCTCGATCTCTTGACCTCGTGATCCACCCGCCTCGGCCTCCCAATGTGCTGGGGTTACAGGCTTGAGCCACCGCGCCCGGCCACATGTATTTATTTCTTACTCAGTGCCTTGCTTTCTGCTGAACATAGTATATGTAGTGTTTCACTTTACCTTCACTCTAGTCCTATATGGCAGACTCCATTTTTGGCCCAACTTCTTAGAAGATTAAGTGGGGGACCAGGCATGGTGGGTCATGCCTATAAATCCCAGCATGTTGGGAGGCTGAGGCAGGTGTATTACATGAGGTCAGGAGTTCAAGAGCAGCCTGGCCAACATGGCGAAACCCCATCTCTACTAAAAAAATACAAAGATGAGCCAGGTATGGTGGTGTGTGCCTGTAGTCTCAGCTATTTAGGAGGCTGAGATGGGAGGATTCTTGAACCTGGAAGGCGGAGGTTGCAGTGAACTGAGACTGTGCCACTACACTCAGCTTGGGTGGCAGAGCGAGACTCCATCTCAAAAACAAACAAACAAACAAACAAACAAAAAAGATTAAGTGGGCTTATGGAATTTGAGTGGCTTGCTAAGTGTCATTAAATTTTGTTCAAATTAGGCTGGGCACGGTGGCTCAAGCCTGTAATCCCAGCACTTTGGGAGGCCGAGGCGGGTGGATCACGAGGTCAAGAGATCGAGACCATCCTGGTCAATATGGTGAAACCCCGTCTCTACTAAAAATACAAAAAATTAGCTGGGCATGGTGGTGCGTGCCTGTAATCCCAGCTACTCAGGAGGCTGAGGCAGGAGAATTGCCTGAACCCAGGAGGCGGAGGTTGCAGTGAGCCGAGGTCGCGCCATTGCACTCCAGCCTGGGTAACAAGAGCGAAACTCCACCCCCAAAAAAAAAAAAAAATTTTGTTCAAATTATTATTTTTGTTGTCTTAAAGTTTAATACTCAGGTGGCCTCACTTTTTTTCCAGTAGACCTCAGGTGTACAGATTTTGAAAAATTATAAACCTTGGTTTATGACACACTATCATCATTGTTTCACGAAAGGCTCTTGTTACTATATTTACTACATTATTTACTTGTTCATTCATTTTTTAACACCATCATCCAACCAAAGTATGAGAACATCACTTATATTCTGTCTTAGTCATTTTGGGTTGCTGTAAGAATACTATAACCTGGATGGCTTGAACAGCAAACACTCATTTCTCTTTCTCACAGTTCGAGAGGCTGGGATGTGCAAGACCAAAGTACTGGCAGATCTGGTATCTGATGAGGGGTCCCTTCCTGGTTTGAGATTTATAGTTTTCTCCATCAGATTGTATGGGGTTTTTTTTTTTTTTTTTGGTCTCTTCTTTTGACAACTTGATGGAAGTGAGTGCTTTCAGTAGATTGTATGTTTTTCTGGTCTTTTCAGGTTGCTACTTCTCATGGTTGTATTGAATTCAGTGTTGGGAGAATTTATAACTTTATATTATTATTATTTGTTAACTTTATATTATTAATTACTCCTGTTAACTCACAGAACATTCATGTAAATATTTACCATTTTTAAAATAAGTATAATTTTCTCTTTCCAGGAGCTACTCTAGGCTGCGTATGGTGACTCATGCCTGTAATCCCAGCACTTTGGGAGGCTGAAGATACTATTTCATCTTCTTGTTGTCACTGAAATGCTGATTTTGTTTCTTCTTCTTTCTTTCTTTCTTCTTTCTTCTTTTTTTTCTTCTTCTCCCTTCTTCTTCTTTTTCTTCTTATTTTCTTCTTCTTTTTTTTCTTTTTTGTGAGATGGAGTCTTGTCCTGTTGCCCAGGCTGGAGTACAGTGGCATGATCTTGGCTCACTGCAACCTCTGCCTCCTGAGTTCAAGTGATTCTCCTGCCTCAGCCTCCTGAGTAGCTTGGATTACAGGCACACGCCATCACACCTGGCTCATTTTTGTAGTTTTTTTTTAGTGGAGATGGGGCTTCACCATGTTGGCCAGTTTGGTCCTGAACTTCTGACCTCAGGCGATCTGTCTGCCTTGGCCTCCCAAAGTGCTGGGATTACACATGTGAGCCACTGTGCCTGGCCTTTGTTTCTTCTATACTGCCATCTCTAATAAGCCTTTTTGTATATTGTATTCCTTCCAGGTGACAGCACAAAGCCCAAGACCACAGAGCCTACTTTTTCTCACCTGACCTTGCCTGAGGAAGTGTTACTCCAGAATCAACTGACACAGGAAGCCCCAAAGGACTCCCAATTAGGGCAAGCCAAGGATCAGGATGGGACATCTGAAATGCAGGAAGTTCGCTTGAAAGTAGGGATAGACCCCCAGAGGGAGAAGCTCCTGGAGAAAATGAGTTCTGAACATGGTGGTTTGGGGTCAGATGATGGTGTATGTTCAAGGATTATACAAAAACAAGTTTCAACAGAAGACGATCTCTATGAATGTGATTCACACGGACCAGTTACAGATTCCTTGATTTACGAAGGGAAAAATTCCTGTAAATGTGAGGAATGCGGGAGAGTGTTTAAAAAGAATTCCCTCCTTGTTCAACACGAACGGATTCACACTCGAGTGAAGCCTTATGAATGTACAGAGTGTGGAAAAACCTTTAGCAGGAGCACTCATCTTCTTCAGCACCACATCATCCACACTGGGGAGAAGCCCTATAAGTGCATGGAGTGTGGGAAGGCCTTCAACCGCAGCTCACACCTCACACGGCACCAGCGGATTCACACCGGAGAGAAGCCTTACAAGTGCAGTGAATGCGGAAAGGCCTTCACCCACCGCTCCACTTTTGTCTTGCATAACAGGAGCCACACTGGAGAAAAACCCTTTGTGTGCAAAGAGTGTGGCAAAGCCTTTCGAGATAGGCCGGGTTTCATTCGACACTACATCATCCACACGGGAGAGAAGCCCTATGAGTGCATTGAATGTGGGAAGGCCTTCAACCGCAGGTCATACCTCACATGGCACCAGCAGATTCACACTGGAGTGAAACCCTTTGAATGCAGTGAGTGCGGAAAAGCCTTTTGCGAGAGTGCAGACCTCATTCAACACTACATTATCCACACTGGGGAGAAGCCCTATAAGTGCATGGAGTGTGGAAAGGCCTTCAACCGTAGGTCACACCTCAAGCAGCACCAGCGGATTCATACTGGGGAGAAGCCTTATGAATGCAGTGAATGTGGAAAGGCCTTTACACACTACTCCACTTTTGTCTTGCATAAAAGGACCCACACTGGAGAAAAACCCTATGAATGCAAAGAATGTGGAAAAGCCTTTAGTGATAGGGCAGACCTCATTCGACACTTCAGTATCCACACTGGAGAGAAGCCCTATGAGTGTGTGGAGTGTGGGAAGGCCTTCAGTCGCAGCTCACACCTTACGAGGCACCAACAGATTCACACTGGAGAGAAACCCTATGAATGTATCCAGTGTGGCAAAGCCTTTTGCCGGAGTGCAAACCTTATTCGACACTCCATCATTCACACTGGAGAGAAGCCGTATGAGTGCAGTGAATGTGGAAAGGCTTTTAATCGCAGCTCGTCCCTCACACATCATCAAAGGATTCATACTGGGAGAAACCCTACCATTGTGACAGATGTGGGAAGACCTTTCATGACTGCGCAGACTTCAGTCAACATCCACAAACTCCTATTAGGGAAAGAGTTTTTGAATATCACCACTGAAGAAAATCTTTGGTGAAAGAAAACATCTTACCATCTGGCCATTCCTACTGGAGAGAAACTTCATAAGCATCCTCTCTTTGAGAAAGCCTGCCATAGATTATCATTTGTCATCTAAACAATCATGTTAGAAATTGAACCAGCCTAGAGTCTTATTCTCCATCTGAGAATTCAGCCATGAGAGAGACCCAGTGGTTACTATGCACTTAGGAAAATCTTCAGTCACATCTTTCTTCTTAGTTTATAGGGAAATGTTATCTCAGGGATTTTTAAACAAAGGAAGAGGAGACATAAGGAAGAGAAAGAAAACAGCTTCTTTTAGACTTGTCTGACAAGTCTATGGCAATTTGTCATCCCTTTGTTATTTTATATGGGAGAGGGAAATGTTTCAGAAACAAAAGATTTAATCCCCTTTATTTTTCCTGTGTGTGCATTCACCGCTGTCCAGTGTCAGAACAGTTAGACAAACGAGGGTTTGAAAACATTTTGTGAAAGCCTGCTTAGTCCTGCAACATTTTTTCCAGGCTCAAGGTATAGGAGCATACATCTTTGTGGAAAAACATGGAGGCTTAAGTTATGAAATACTTTTATAAGGAGATGAGGATGCACATATGTTTGGGCACATTTTATTGTCCACTTCAGATGCTTGTTTAAAAAAAAAAAATTTCACCATGTGTCTTTACCCAATACACATACTTATTTCTTTTTCTTGGGATGGGGATGATAGTGTAATTGTTTGTGCACAGTGTAATCCTGGGAATCTTGTTTTTTTCCTATGATTGTGGTTTCTCAGCTTCTTTACCTCTCCTTTGAGAGAGTTAGGTCCACCTCAACCATTTTCTAAAAGCATTTTGGAATTCCTTTTTGATAATATTTTTAAGAATATATTATGAGCCACATGTGATATAGTATTATACCTCACATTAAAAATGTATCTTGTACGGAAGTAAAAATCTATTCGCTTTGAACTCCTCAAAGCCTTATTTATTTATTTGATTTAGGAATGAGGTTTAGTAGGCAAAAGAATGAGAAAGGAAACCAGCTCTCTCCTGCAAGAGAAAGGGGTGTCCAAGTGGAACTTTTAAATGACCACATGGATAGTTTTCAGTTGTGGTTGCAGGCAAAGCCATTTTGTTTTGTTTTGTTTTTGAGACCGAGTCTCGCTCTGTCTCCAGGCTGGAGTGCAGTGGCACTATCTTGGCTCACTGCAACCTCTGCCTCCCTGGTTCAAGTTATTATTCTGCCTCAGCCTCCTGGTTAGCTGGATTTGCAGGCACGTGCCACCACGCCCAGCTAATTTTTGTATTTTTAGTAGAGACAGAGTTTCACCATGTTGATCAGGATGGTCTCAATTTCCTGACCTTGTGATTCACCCACCTTGACCTCACAGAAGTGCTGGGATTACAGGTGTGAGCCACCACACCCAGCCGTTAAGTTAATTCTTATATTACAGTATGAACTTCAGTTAAGTTTCTTTCTTTGTTACCCATGAATTCTTTTTTGAGTCCAAGTTTTGCTCTTGATGTCCAGGCTAGAGTGCAGTGGTGCGATTTTGGCTCACTGCAACCTCCGCCTCCCAGGTTCAAGTGATTTTCCTGCCTCAGCCTCACAAGTAGCTGGGATTACCGGCATCTACGACCACGCCCAGCTAATCTTGTATTTTTAGTAGAGTCAGGGTTTCTCCATGTTGGTCAGGCTGGATTTGAACTCCTGACCTCAGGTGATCCACCTGCTCGGCCTCCCAAAGTGCTGGGATTACAGGCATGAGCCACTGAACCCAGCCTGTTGTCACCCATGAATTTTTTTAGAAGCTCCATTTGTTGAAAAGACTATTAACCTCTATTGAAATTGCTTTTACACCTTGGTCAAAAATTAGTTAAGCATATTCATGTTGGTCTATGGGTTCTCTATGTTATTCCATTGATCTTTGAGCCTAAACCTATGCCAATACCACTCCATTTTGATTACTGTTGCTATCCACTAAATTTTAAAATACAGTAAAATTATACCTCACTCTATGTTCCTTTTAAAAATTGTTTTGGGGCCGGGTGCAGTGGTTCACGCCTGTAATTCCAACACTTTGGGAGGCTGAGGCAGGCAGAACACCTGAGGTCACGAGTTCGAGACCAGCCTGGCCAAAATGGTGAAACCCCACTTCTATTAAAAAATACAAGAACAAGCCGGGCTGAGGGGGCAGGCGCCTGTAATCCCAGCTGCTCAGGAGGCTGAGGCAGAATTGTTTGAAGCCAGGAGGTGGAGGTTGCAGTGAAATGAGATCATGCCACTGAAATCTAGCCTGGGTGATAGAACAAGACTCTGTCTCAAAATAATAATAATTGGTTTTTTATTATTTTATTAATAAAATTGATTAATTTTAATAAAAATAAAATTTTTTTCCTTTGCCTTTGCATGTACATTTTAACGCATGTTTGTCCCTTTTTACAAAATGTGTTGCAGGGATTTTGATAGAAATTACCTTAAAGCTAAAGATCGTTTTGGTGGGAATTGACATCTTGTTGAATCTTGCAGTTTACGGATATGGTATGTGCCTCTGCTTATTGAGATCCTCCTTGATTTATTTCATAAGGGTTTTGTAATTTTCAGCCTATAGATTATGTACATATTTTTTAAATCTAGACAATTTTTTAGGTTGCCATTATTTGGTGTATTGAGTTTTAAATTTCAATGTGCACTTGATACTTGAAATTATAGAGAAATACAATATATAAACTATAATTTTTATATGTATACTATGACTTTGCTGAAGTCAATAGTTCTAGCAGCATTTTTTGGATAGCTTTCTTAGGATTTTCTTCATTAATACTAGTGTTATTAGCAAACATCAAACATTTCTTATTGGTTTTTTTGAGACTTGCTCTGTAACCTAGGCTGGAGTACAGTGGTGCGATCCTGGCTTACTGTAATCTCTGCCTCCCAGATTAAAGCGATTTTTGTCCTCAGCCTCTCGAGTAACTGGGATTACAGGCACACTCCACTATACCCTGCTGATTTTTATATATTTTGTAGAGATGAGGTTTTACCATGTTGCCAGACTGGTCTCCATTTCCTAAGCTCAAGTGAGCCTCCTGCCTCAGCCTCCCAAAGTGCTGGAATTACAGGCATGAGCCACTGCTCCTGGCCCAAACATCTTATTTCACCTAGCTAATCTCTTATCACTTTTATTTCCTTTTCTTATGTTTATTGCACTAGCTATAACTTCCAGTGTGATGTTGAATAAAAGTGAAAAAGGACATACTTGTCTTTTTCTTGATGTTTGGGAGAAAGCATTGTTCAGTATTGATCATTAAATATGATACCTGTAAACTTTTATGTACATGTTCTTTTATTTATTTATTTATTTAAAGATGGAGTTTCACCATGATGGCCAGGCTGGTCTTGAACTCCTGACCTCAGGTGATCCACCCACCTCAGCCTCCCAAAGTGCTAGGATTACAGGCGTGAGCCACTGCGCGCAGCCCTATGTTCATGTTCTTTAGAAAGTTTCCCTTCTGAATTTCTGAGAGCTTTCATTGTAAATGGCCATTTAATTTGCCAAATGCCTTTTCCCCTTCAATTGATCATGTGATTTTTCTTCTTTAGCCTGTTGTGATGGATTGCTTTAACTTATTTTAGAATCTTTTGTTTATTTAAATTTTTTTTTTTTTTTTTTTTTTTTTTTTTGAGTCGGAGTTTCGCTCTTGTTACCCAGGCTGGAGTGCAATGGCGCGATCTCAGCTCACTGCAACCTCTGCCTCCTGGGTTCAAGCAATTCTCCTGCCTCAGCCTCCTGAGTAGCTGAGATTACAGGCACGTGCCACCATGCCCAGCTAATTTTTTGTATTTTTAGTAGAGACGGGGTTTCACCATGTTGACCAGGATGGTCTCGATCTCTTGACCTCGTGATCCACCCGCCTCGGCCTCCCAAAGTGCTGGGATTACAGGCTTGAGCCACCGCGCCCGGCCTTAAAATTTTTAAAAAACATTTTTAATAGAATTTATAAAAAATAATGCCGGGCACGGTGGCTCAAGCCTGTAATCCCAGCACTTTGGGAGGCCGAGGCGGGTGGATCACAAGGTCGAGAGATCGAGACCAACCTGGTCAACATGGTGAAACCCCGTCTCTACTAAAAATACAAAAAATTAGCTGGGCATGGTGGCGCATGCCTGTAATCCCAGCTACTCAGGAAGCTGAGACAGGAGAATTGCCTGAACCCCTGTAATCCCAGCTACTCAGGAAGCTGAGACAGGAGAATTGCCTGAACCCAGGAGGTGGAGGTTGCGGTGAGCCGAGATCGCGCCATTGCACTCCAGCCTGGGTAACAAGAGCGAAACTCCGTCTCAAAAAAAAAAAAGAATTTATAAAAAATACACATTTTTTTTTTTCTTTAGATGGAGTTTCACCATGTTGGTCAGGCTGGTCTTGAACTCCCAACCTCAGGTGATTCGCCCGCCTTGGCCTCCAAAGTGCTTGGATTACAGGCGTGAGCCACTGCGCCCAGCTGTTTTTGTCGTTGTTGTTTTTGTTTTTGTTCTTGTTTTTTTGAGACAAAGTCTCACTCTTTTGCCCAGGCTGGAGTATGGTGGTGCAATCTTAGCTCACTGCAACCTCCATCTCCCAGGTTCAAGTGATTTGCTTGTCTCAGACTCCCAGGTAGCTGGGACTACAGGCATGCAACACCATGCCCAGCTAATTTTTGTATTTTTAGTAGAGATGGCCAGGCTAGTCTCGAACTCCCAACCTCAAGTGATCCGCCCACCTCAGCCTCCCAAAGTCTTGGGATTACAGGCATGAGCCACCATGCCTGGCTAATATTTGAATGTAAGCTAGCCTTGTACTCCTGGAATAAACCCCATCAGGTCATGGAGTACGAATTTTTTTTTAATAACAACATTCCATTTGCTAGTATTTTATTGAGAAATTTTGAATCTGAAATCATGAGTGTTCCATCTGGCCAAATATGTGGCTGGAATTTTCCCAAAAGTGGTGACAGGAGTTCCCACAAGGGACTGTTTCAAACAGTCCTGAAATAGGACCTGTTAGGATTCCAAAGAAAGGAGCATTAAACACCAGGGTAATTAGTCAATTCATTTTTCAGAGGAACTTTCATATGGGGGTGGGTGCTGCAGTGTGTCCTTGTGTTGAACAGCAGAGGGAAAAAAAAGCCCTACTTGTGTATGTCTGCAATGAGAAGTTTGGGTTATGGAGATTATATGATGGTTTAAGGAATTTGGCTCAGATCCAGGGCCAGTTTCTACATGTTTAGCAACATA